TCAATATGTGTGGTAGGATATATATGAAATAATGTAGAATATGTTTGGTAGGATTTATGTGGTATCATAGCTAAGATATGTGTGTCACGCAGAGTATGTGGTAGGATATATATAGTATCAGATGTAAAATATATAGTATCATGTATAGGATCATACACCAGTTTTAACATATGGATGTGAATCCTGGACAATCGGTAGGCAGGCCGAACAATTTTAAGAGGCCTCAGAGATGTGGTTTTACAGAATGCTTAGAATACCTTGGATAGCCAAAAAGAGCAACCAAGAGGTTTTGGAAGAGGCGGGAGCCCAAAGACAACTTATCACAGACATCAGAAGGAGACAGTCATCATTTTTCGGCCATGTTATGAGAAGAGGGAAAATAGAACACGTGTAGTGAGTCTCATTTTCTCCCAGATAATTTATGCCCGACAGATGAGGTCAGCAATAAATGTGAGTGGAATATTTTGACTATAACTGGGACGACACGGGAATGGTTGAGTCTAAACTTCACGGAAATTATAGAAAAATGCTGATAGTCAAACTTTGCGTGAAGTATAATTATTCACGTGTAGAGAAATGCTGACAGTCGAAGTTTATGAGAAGTACGATGAATCACGGGCCACACACATTTGCCGGCCAAATGGAATTCGTGGGACTGAAGGGACACGGAGTATTCGGGAAAAACGAAGCGGGGCATTAGAAGGCCAAATAATGCCGTAGTTAGGGCTGAGAGCGAGTCTCGTTTGGGCCCAGGAACAGAGTGCATGGACAACGGTGGATGATGTGTGGATTCGACATGTGTTTGAGTGTTTTTGTTCCTCCAACGGCCAACTTGGCAAAACAAGCTGGCAGGCAATATGTCTGCGGGCCGTGTTAGTTTTTCTGTCAGGACAGCTGTTGTGTTTTCGTTCATGATGCTAGTGTAGGACGATTGTGATTTCGGATAGAAGGTAATAATTGATACTTTGATATTTGAGTTATAATGTGTGCCTGGACAGTAGTCTATTTCATGTGCCGGCTGAGAAAGCCGAGAGTGGAAGATTAAAGTGCTGAAACAGTCTAGTGTTGTTTTTCCAGTCATCCATTTTCTGCTCGTCATGTGATGTCGGTGTGTGAGATAGCAAGCATGCGATGACGCGAGCCAGATAGATGATAAAAGGAGAGTCATCGCAACATGTTGTGACCACTGGAAAGATCTGTGGAAAAAGGGATAGAAGAAGACAACGAGAGAAGATTCTTGACAGTCTTGTTCTCAATGCATGGAGGTGTGTCGGCACACGAACTGATACATGCTGCAGGAGATCGCAGATTATGGAGAGGCATGATCGCCCACGCTAGTCGGCAAAGCACCTGATGATGATGATGATCATGTGTAGGATATATTTAATTAATACATTTTTCATTGTTAATGATGTTAATTACCAAGCATTATTTATGGGCATGAGTTCGGTTGAATGTTATTGAGTACAAATGATAATATAGAAAAATGAATAACCCGAGACAAGCGTGCAAATTGGATGGATCATGCTAGATGAGAAAAAGCATAAATCGATTGTGGAACATTGGAGAACCCAAGAGGGAAACAAGTTATTTAAACTTTGAATGATTGAGAACATTCAGTCTTGTTTTGGATCACGGGACTGTTTTTTAGAAGGCCTGGAAGAGTGGCAGTCGAGTAAATCTACAAGCAAGTGAATTTCTGCTCAAACGTTGACTGTGGCTCCCGAGAAAACCTGGCCATCTTGTTTAGCCTGACATCTTGCAATGGCCGAACATCGTCTGCTGTCCGTATGAGTGGTTGTGAATGCAGTTTGGCAGACCTTGAAGTGTTGACGTTTGAAAGTGCCATATTTGGTCATCCTGTGATGGTAATGTTGAATTCATTGATGTCTTGTATGTTACCGATCTGGTCGTCCTAGACGTTTATACCTCTGGTGTTTTGACGGAGAAGAGCAATTGTTTGAACCAATAAACATTTCGTATCTGAATTTGGACCAACAATCATCAAAAAGAAGACAACGGTTGTGGTGCAAGGTGTTAATGACAGACCTACAGTCTACATTGACGGTGAAGAGTTTGAGACGGTAGACCATTTTACCTATCTGGGTTCCACAGTGAACAGTAAACTATCGCTGGACCAAGAAATCAACATCAGGATAGGTAAGGCAGCAACAACAATGAGTAGATTAACAAAAAGAGTTTGGGAGAACAGACAGCTCACGATTAAAACAAATACTCCGGTCTTCTGCTTCGTGTTCTCATCGCTCTGCTTTATGACAGTGAAAAACAATCTTCTCAATGCTAATTTCTACGAAGGCTCAGGTGGCTGGGTCACACTGGAGAATGGAGGATGGTAGAATCAATAAGGACATTCCCTATGGTGAATTTAAGATGGGTATAAAATGTCGAGGCTAACCTCTACTACGTTATAAAGGCATGTTCAGGAGGGACTAGAATGATACAGGTATTGAGGTGGACTTGTGGGAAAAAAAATGCCATGGACCGTGCTGTGTGGAGGGGGCATATCAAAAAGGAAATGAGCATGAAGGAAGAAATCATTGCAGAAAGGATGAAATGATTGCAGAAAGGATGAAATGATTGCAGAAAGGATGAAATGATTGCAGAAAGGAAGAAATGATTGCAGAAAGGATGAAATGATTGCAGAAAGGATGAAATGACTGCAGAAAGGATGAAATGATTGCAGAAAGGATGAAATGATTGCAGAAAGGATGAAATGATTGCAGAAAGGATGAAATGATTGCAGAAAGGATGAAATGATTGCAGAAAGGAAGAAATGATTGCAGAAAGGATGAAATGATTGCAGAAAGGATGAAATGATTGCAGAAAGGATGAAATGATTGCAGAAAGGATGAAATGATTGCAGAAAGGATGAAATGATTGCAGAAAGGAAGAAATGATTGCAGAAAGGATGAAATGATTGCAGAAAGGAAAAAATGATTGCAGAAAGGATGACAGCTGAGCGTCAGAGAAAAAACACATTAAACACAAATGTTGACAACAAATGTCCTGAAATCCCATGCTGTAATTGTAAAAGACTTTTCTTAACGCGGGCGGGTCTTGCTAGTCACACTCGCCCTCGCCACGCGCTGCAACACCCAAGCCTTCTCATAGTACAATATAATACTACCGTCTGGAAAAGCGGAATGGTGCCTGTCGTAAAATGTTTATACAGATTCTGCAAACAGTGTTTACGTACTTCAGGAAAAGATAAATATACTTATATACCCTCTGTAATGCTAATAATTGTCAGTGGTAATATTTATGCAAGAAATGGTATTATCTGAGAGAACGTTAAATTATACATTGTTACTGAATTTCGACTTAATTTCGAAAAATATGTTTTGTGAGATGCCTACATTGATTTTGCGAACTCTGTATTTAGAAAAGTACTGGGTGTGCGACATTTATTGATGTTAGGTTCACAAAAGCTTAGAGGTATTACACCAGGAACAAGGTATAAAGTTGTGAAAATCTCTGCTGTATAAAGCAATAAAATCATAATCATCATCACTAACATTTTCTTTTTTCTTTCACTATCTTCTTCTGGTTTCTGTTTCTCCTTCTTCTTCTCATCATCTTCGCCATCTCCTCCTCTTCTTCTTCTGCTGCAGCCTGGCTAATCCCATAATTGTTACGGTACCTTTGTCAACAAAAACCACACAGAATGCCCCTTTTATTGTCCCTTGTGGAAGAAAAAAATTGAAACAGACTGTAGTGTCAGCAAAACTAACAACATGCACACGCATTAAATGCATAAGGCAGCTGCCAGGAGCCTTAATCCCCCCCCCCTCCCAAAAAAAAAAAAAAGTCCGCCATTAGAGTTGCAGCCTATAGACGATGGAAACAGAAAGAATAAAGATGCTGCCAAAAGAGGACTCATAAGACAACATAAAAACTAAAATCCATGAAACACCTATTCAAATTTATTCCCATTTTCTTGTTCTTTAAAAAATTCAATCAAATAACAATATAAAATAAAGGCCCATTTTCCACGCCTTCGGCGTATGGGACATATAGGGCTAGACCTTTATTTTATAGACCATATGACACTTGGTGGATGATGTGGTTAGCATCACGTCGGTTACCTTTACTTCCCAGAACTGCACCTGGTACCCACTCAAGGCTAAGTCGACTTAGGAGCCAAGCCCATTTTGTTAAAACAAAGTTTTGCTACTTTCAAATTTATAAACCTACGGTCTTCGGTTCCTTAGGCGAGTGTCTAACCGAGAGACCATGGCGATTCCCTAATACCTATGTAGTTATCCGTTATGTTAGTTCGATGGTCTCTATGATCTAAAAATGTTTGGAATTTGTATGTAATCAACGAATAATTTATGATGTCACATTCTTCTTCTTCTTGTTTTTCTTGTTCTTGTTCTTGTTCTTGTTCTTCTTCTTCTTCTTCTTCTTCTTCTTCTTCTTCTTCTTCTTCTTCTTCTTCTTCTTCTTCTTCTTCTTCTTCTTCTTCTTCTTCTTCTTCTTCTTCTTCATCATCATCATCATCTTCTTCTTCTTCTTCTTCTTCTTCTTCTTCTTCTTCTTCTTCTTCTTCTTCTTCTTCTTCTTCTTCTTCTTCTTCTTCTTCTTCTTCTTCTTCTTCTTCTTCTTCTTCTTCTTCTTTAGTTCGCTTGAAATGGATTATCTATATCTGCAATGTTGTCTCTAGTATGAACTCCACTGTCTTTTGTAATTCACTCAGCGACCCGTAAAGTTTTACTTGCACCGATGTTTCTCTTTGGCCAAAAGTTTTGCCTTGATATGTTGTATTTGGGGCAGTCTTGGAGGATATGATCTGTTGTCTCAGGTGCTAGTCCACATGTGCATATGGTTGATTCTCCGATGATGTCACAGAAACGCATACTAGGCCACTGTTTGATGCAATGGAATAAATAAATAGGTTACAATAAATAAATCTCTCAGCTGTGATCTGAAGTTTGAAGAATGACGCTTACAACGTTGTCGTCTGATAATGTTGATCTTTAGTCGTCTTCATCTGTTTCTGCAAGTGTAGGAAGTACTGGACTTCGGGGAATCGGCGGGGTATTTGGAGAAACCATTCCCCCGCTTCCGCTTCCGCTACTGCTTCCACTAAGTGTGCGACTGGGAGAGACAGCGGTAGTGTAGACTTGGAAAGCGTCCAGCCACTGCTCCAAAGAAGACAACTCGGGAACTTCGAATTCAATGACATTACCAGAGTCGCAATGACCTGCAACGATAAACCGGCCCAAGCAATGTCCGGGGATGACCCTGGAGTGACGCATGTTAATGTAGGTCGGCTTGCTGGTGTAGATAGGGTCCCGGGTGATGATGGCAAAGTGCTCACTGTTGCACCGATACACCCTCACAAACACGGATACTTTTAAGGTAGATGGGGGTGTTGGCGAAGAAGATGGAGACGAGATGGGAGACGCACACTGTTGTGACGAATGTGGCGAGGAGGCCCGGAAATGGAAAGGCATGATGGGGGATTGAGTTGGAGATGTGACAGGCGATCGTGATGGGGGTGATAAAACATAATTATTTCCTGTGTGGCAAATGAGATACAGCCTTCCTGAATGTACTTTGTGTTTTTCTTCAGATTGCGACTGTGATGGAGACAGGGGTGTAGCCTTTTCTGCTGATTGAAACACATCGTTATCCACGTCATCATCTTGTAAGAAATCGAACCCTATGACGTCTTGTTCATCCGGCGGACAGATGGTTATATGCGGTGGAATCGGCTTGAGCGTCGGTTTGACGGAGCAGCATTTCTTGTGATCTGACATTGTATCTGATCGTTTAACGTCGAGGATATGAACGTCGTCCCGCTTATCGTCGGTGGAGTGGTGTGGATTCAGGTTTGTATTGTTGAGAATATTGTTGTATAGGTAAGTGTCCTTCTTTTGGTCTGCAAACATGATGTGTTAGATCCTTGTAAGGCGTTGGTATGTCTACCTGGTAACTGAAAAAAAAAAAAAAAAAACATTTAGTTAATCTGTGTATGTACAAGAAATGTTAGTCGACTGACTCTTTCGGTACCTGGCAATGCCGTCTTTCTCAGAGCCTCCCGAGCATTGGAGCCGCATACGTATCCAAGTATGGCAAGTGACTTACCATAATACCAGTTTTATTCCCGTAGGTAGATGTCTTAAGGGCCCCAGCACACTGGCTTGCCCAGAGGCTCTTAAAAGTAAAGAAAACAATAAAGGACCCTTTTCCACGCTTCCGTGCGTGTTGGGCATATAGGGCTAGACCTATATTTTATAGACCAATCGGCACTTGGTGAGTGATGTGGTTCGCGTCACATCGGTCGCCTTTACTTTCCATAACGATACGTGGTACCCGTTTAAGGCTTGGTCGACTTGGGAGCCAAGGTCATTTTTGAAAAAAAAGTCTACCTTTTACATTCCGATACATAGGCGAGCGTCTAGCCGCTACCACATGGCGGCTTACCACAGGCCCATTCTACTGTTAAAACAACTCTGGTACCATGTGGTTCTTAATGCAGCAGTGTCTGTCCTAAAGCAGTTGTGCCGCACAGCAACACGATTTTAGTCCCTAATGTAATTTAAAAATACAGCATTACAGGAGAAAACGTTGCAGCAGCAAATGGGATAAGACTGGATAAGAAAACAGAAGGATTGGCCAGAGAGAGAGAGATAGATAGAGAGAGAGAGAGAGAGAGAGAGAGAGAGAGAGAGAGAGAGAGAGAGAGAGAGAGAGAATAAAGAGACGGCTATCGTATTAAGCAGTGTTCTGTCTGGTGTTTTAGTTTTACACCTACGCCTCGGCAAAACAGGGGAAATGGGTTCGCTGCCCAACTAACCAAATACAGAAACAAAAACAAAAGTACAAAGCAATTTAAATTTGTTACGTGCGATGTCACAAAACTACAGGGGCTGCTACTGTTTAGAGGTTAGCACATCTTATATGGGTGACTGGAGCGTTGTTTCTGCTAGACGAAACGCTAAAAGAACACATATTTGATTCATCTGGTTTTTATTAATTAAATTGCTGCGTAAGTCTTTTCACCCTGATAGAAGTTATTTAAAAAAGACAAACAGTCTGATATCTATTATAAACACAGATATGGATATTTATTTTTTTCGAGCTACTAACAAACAATAAGATGATTGTTCTTAATATCTCAACAGGGAGTGAGATCCGAAGACAACTTGATCATCTAGTCTTTTTCACGATAAGGGGGCTGCGTGATGTCGAGGCATGGTGTCCGCCTCGAGTGCTAGAGGTTCCGGGTTCAATCCCTGGTAAGAGCTAGTATTTTTACATGTAGACTTAGACTTCTCGGAAAATGCCCCTGGTTTCTGAGTAGTAAGACCGGACGCCCGTGTGCATTGTTGTGCGCGTAAAAAATCCCTTGGTAGTTGGATATCGAAAAGAGTAGCCTAACGGGGCTGCCTGGGCAAAAATTTGGAGTTGAAAATATACCCTAAGTATTTCAGCATCCTTGTCGGTCACAGTTACGTTGGTCTGGATATGTCTGCGGAATAGGAGAAAATCGGCCAACACGAGTGAAGGAAGTTCAACATCACCAGGGCCGCACAACGAGCGACAAACACCCGGTGACACAAAGTACCACCACGTGGATGACAATCACTCGGGCACAAGTCTGAGAATCCCCGTTCAACCGTTAGATTATATTAGGGCCCCCGACAGCAGCCAGAGTGGGACTTTTAAAAATGCTCTTTCTCGTCTCAAAAAAGGCAAAGGTAAAATCGGGAGATGTGAACCAGAGTCACTGCACACGGTTATAAACCATAAGGGCTCTGCCAGCAGTACGGACAGCTGATAAGAATTGTCCGCCTGTGTCGCCGTCCGCACGTTACTCTGTAGCTACAGCGACGTTCCTCCATTTATCTCAGAGTGTCAACTCTGGTACCCATTTCCTAGAGGCTGGGTGAACCCCGGGAACCGCCCGGTTTCGAACACCGACCGTGGGCTGCAGCGAGTCGCAGCTGGATTTGAAAGCGAGCCTCTTATCGACTGCGCTAACTCGTCTCAACTGACGCACAATGCATAAAAAATTCTCCATTTTGTAAAATGCTGCCTTTGCTTGAGCAATTCGACATTTAACTTGTAGAACACTGAGAGAATAACGGCCCCGGAAATGGAATCCTGGTGATTGATTGGCACCGTTCCGTCTTTCCAGAAGATAGTGTTGTATTGGCTATGAGGAGACATGTGACTCACAGCCCATGGCGATGGCGAGTGTGATTAGCCAGACCCACCTGCGTTAATAAATGTCTTCCACAATTATAGCATTGGATTTTAGCACCGTTGTCAATATTTGTGTTTCTTCGCTGACGCTCAGCTCTCATCTTTTCTGCAATCATTTTTTTTTCCCTTCATAGTCGTCCGCATGTAGTATGCCATTTTGTGTTATATGAAGCCTCATCCTGGCTTTTGCTAGGGGTCTTGAATATAACCGGGTCATACAAATATATGGCCTCACGGTGAACCTCGAACATCGAACTCTGTCGAGCAGTGGCAGTGTTAACTACAAGAAGTCTGGTCAACCAACATAGAACGGGGGCGAGCAGTGCTCATTACTAGAAGACTGTTGTGCCTTCAATGAACTGGGGCGAGCTGTGCTCACTACAAGAAGACTGGTGAACAAAAATCGAACGTGGGCAAGCAATATTTACTACTAGAAAACCGGAGAACCAGCAATAAACTGGGGCAAGCATGTTTTCACTACCTGAAGACTGGTAAACGAACATCGATCTGGGGCGAGCAGTGCTCACTACCAGAAGAATGCATGAAGGCGAGCAGTGCTCACTACCAGAAGACTGTTAAACGAACATCGAACTGGGGCAAGCAGTGCTCACTACAAGAAGACTGTTGTACCGGCAATAAACTGGGTCGAGCAGTGCACACTACAAGAAGACTGGTGACGAACATGGAACTGGTGCGAGCAGTGCTCACTTAAAGAAGATCGGTGAACGAAAATTTAATGTGGGCAAGTAGTGTTTTCTATAGGAAGGCTGGTAAACCAGTAATGAATTAGGGCGAGCAGTGCTCACTACAAGAAGACTGGTGAAGTTACGTCGATTTGGCGCCAGCAATGTTTACTACAAGAAGGCTGGTGAACTAGCAATGAACTTGGGGGGGGGGGGGAAGCAGTGCTCACTACAAGAAGACTGGTGAACCAACATCGAACTGGGGCGAGCAGTGCTCACTACAAGAAGACTGGCGAACCAACATCGAACTGGGGCGAGCAGTGCTCACTACAAGAAGACTGGTAAACCAACATCGAACTGGGGCGAGCAGTGCTCACTACAAGAAGACTGGTGAACCAACATCGAACTGGGGCGAGCAGTGCTCACTACAAGAAGACTGGTGAACCAACATGGAACTGGGCGAGCAGTATTTACTATAGGAAGGCTGGTAAACCAGTAATGAATTAGGGTGAGCAGTGCTCGCTACAAGTATGCTGATGAACCAGCAATAAACTGGGGCGAGCAGTGGTTTTCTGAAAGGGGTTTCCAGGACCTCTCCACGGGTGATCTGTATCCTCATGGTGGCACTTTGTGTCACCGGGTGTTTACCGCTTGTGTGATGTCCTGGCTGGGTACAACTACCTAGCTACAATTTCTTCCTTTATTCCCATTCCCTTCTTGATGTGCCCCTTCCATAGCATTTTGTTTCCACTAGTCTGCTTCTATACCTGAAACATTCATGTCCTGCTTGCACAGATCTTTATGTCATAGTAGAGGCCGGTCTTCTGCCCATCTTTAATTCACCATAGAGTATGTCCATACGGACTCTGCAATCCTCCATTGTCTAGTAATGGGCACCGTAGTAATCTAGGATTATTAAACTGGTAAACATATTCACTGGTAGCTGCGTGGTCTCAAGGTATGGTGTCCGCCTCGAGTGCTAGAGGTTCTGGGTTCAATCCCCGGTAAGGACTGGGATTTTTTCACGTAGACTTGGACTTCTAGTAATTCCGTCGGTCTCTGAGTAGTGAGATTGGACACCCGTGTGCATTGTTGCGTGTGTAAAATATCCCTTGGCAGCTGGAAATCGAAAAGAGTATCCTAACGGCGCTGCCCAGGCAAAATTGTGAGTTAAAAATCTACCTAAAGTATTTTAGGACTCTCGCCGGTGCTACAGAACCTGTAACATATGGTGCCATTTCAATGGGTTGAAATGAATTCTGTCCGTATTCCATAGTCGTGGATTTCAAGCTGTACGATAGACATGGCCAATGAGACACCTTTTTTGGGGTGCCTAGTTGACCATGTATCTTAGTGCACTTGTATTCATGGCGAGACGCAGACGCCGTCTGGAGGTGACAGGTTCAAATCCCGGCCCGGTAACTATAGCTTTCGATTTTTATGTTGTCTAGTGTGTTCTTCTATCTTTCTACTTCTTTCTATGAGTGCCGTTCACAATACTTTTTGTTACTTGATTAATTCATAATATTTAACGGCCTCAAATGGTTCCCCCCTCTGTTTATTTATAGGAATGACGTATACACACCGGAACCTACCAATCAAATACCTTTCTTAAATGTTTGTGTATTCTAGACAAAGCAATAAGGTCTTACTGTGTTCGTAAATTGTTGCTGTGATTGTTATCGACATTTGCTTCGTTAAAATAAATTTCTGTAACCTATGGTGCCATTTCAATGGGTTGAAATGAATTTCTGTCCGTATTCCATAGTCGTGGATTTCAAGCTGTACGATAGACATGGCCAATGAGACACCTTTTTTGGGGTGCCTAGTTGACCATGTATCTTAGTGCACTTGTATTAATGGCGAGGCGCAGACGCCGTCTGGAAGTGACAGGTTCAATTCCTGGCACGGTAACTATAGCTTTCGATTTTTATGTTGTCTAGTGTGTTCTTCTATCTCTCTACTTCTTTCTATGAGTGCCGTTCACAATACTTTCTGTTACTTGATTAATACAGAACCTGTGCACTGTGCTGAGATTCTTCGGAATTAGACTTGAGTTAAAAGAAGAACGTAGCACTGATGGGTCACTACCCTTGTGCCATGATGTTTGATCCGTTGTTCAAAACCTCAAACCTCAAACATTTTCATCAATCGCTAAGACACAGAGAGGAGCATCCACGATAAAGTTGCAGCTAGTTATCACAGTAAATCGGTTTTTATCAGAGTGGAATATTTACAAGAAAATTTGTAAACATGTAGCTGGCGGGAAAAATACACAATCAAGGGGAAAATAAATGCAAGCGTGGCAGAAAACTGCAACACGCAGGACGCGTTAAGTTGTTATCAACATTATCATGTTTGTGGTGTTTGTCGGCTGATGAAGTTATCTGTCAAGGCTTTAACGCTGAGAAAACATGAGAACAATACAACTAGAATGTCTTTGCTCTGGAACGCACAGGGGTATAGAAATATAGGAACATCATAAACATAAGGAGAAGCGAGCTAAAGGTTAGTTGCGTATCTTTTACAGGACGTTGCAGAACCAACCCCAATAGCCCCTGGCTGTTGTGTGATTTTTTTATAGCAAATTTGTGTCCAGTAGTTTGCCATTGCAAACTGGACGGTCAGCTTTCTTGATACCACTGTCGAAACCAACGCAAGGCGCATGTCCCGCAGCTGGGATCGAGCCCGGCATCCCGGCATTACGAAGCGTTCGCATCCACTTAGCCACAGAGCCGACTAGGCAGCTAAAGAGCCAAGTTGAAAAAAAAGGCGGAGGACATGGGGCGAGTTGCATGCGATAGCGAACGATAGCACGATGTGGCGTGAGTTTGTTGAGGGCCTATGCTCCACTGGGAGGCTAGAAAGACAAAAGAAGAAGAAGTTATCTTTATCCTCAAAATAACATCTTTCACGTATGGATTCTGGGGTCCCATTGTGAAGGAAAACTACAACAGACCCACTACCTTCCCCAACACGCATGTTGTAAGAGTTGAGTTTTTGGGGGGCTTCCCTCAAAGACTGTCTGCCTGAGAGGCCAGGAACCAACAGTCTGCATATAAATAAGTCATATCTGTAAGTTGTGCAGCAACACTTAGGTTCTAGAACAAGACCTAAGTGCAGAAGTTGACGAACAACCAGATCTTTCTGGAGGGGTCTGCAGTTGATGAACAACCAGATCTTTCTGGAGGGGTCTGCAGTTGATGAACAACCAGATCTTTCTGGAGGGGTCTGCAGTTGATGAACAACCAGATCTTTCTGGAGGGGTCTGCAGTTGATGAACAACCAGATCTTTCTGGAGGGGTCTGCAGTTGATGAAAGCAAAGAAGAAGAAGAATGGATATCTTCTGTGTTTGAAAAAAAAACCCAAAAAGTCAAGGTCCCTTTATACGCTAATGGCGCACAAGGCGATTGGGGTTAGACTCATATATCTATAGATCAATCGGTGCCTCGGTGGATGTATTGCACAGCACATCACGCCGGCTGCTTTTACCTCTTATGACTTTTCCTGGTACCCATTTAAGGCTGGGTCCACCTGGGAGCCTAGGTCATGCTTGAAGGAAAAATCCCACGAGCTTCAGATCCGCAGGCGAACGTCTAGCCGCTACACGAAGGCGGCTCCTTCCGAGCTCATAATGTGGAAAATATATGTTACATGTGTCCTAGTCACTCTCAAGAGATACGTCCTCGGTAGACTAAACTATGCTGACATGGTCACTCCAGCTGGAATCGAGGACCTGATGACAGGAAAACAGATCCTTTTTCATGCCATAAGGTATACTGGGTATTTAGGACTAGACCTATATTCCATAGATCAATCGGAACTCGGTGGGAGATGTGATCAACATCACGTCGGCCGCCTTTACCTCCCATGCCTTTGCATGTTACCCATTTTAGGCTGGGCCGTCACATCAACCTCTGTATTTTTAGAGAATGTAATCCTCAAAAAAAAAATTTATATATATATATATATATAATGCAATTTCCCTGTAGCAACATGCGAATGTAATTCGTAGACTATCTCACAGTCCTTCATGAAGAAAAAAAGGGCTTTATAGCTGAAATGCTACAGAACTATTCTCAGAACACCATGGACAAAGAAGAAAAGAAATACTGATATTATAAAAGATCTAAACGTCAAGGAAGATTGGCTAATAAACAGCATCTTATTAAAGAGGGCAGAGTACCAGGAAGGAGTGGTGGGGACCGACAAGGCAGATGTGGTCAGAGCCCTTTAGGAATAAGTAACTAAGTCAGAAGAAAAACCAGATTAGAATTGGTTGGAGAGAATGAGGCACCTGGATGGAACCAGAGGGTTTGGCCGGCACACTACGCTCAGAGGAAAGGCTTGGCGGACACACAACCAGACGACGACTGGCACCATTAGTATTGGAACTCTGCGCTGGCTGCTGAGGATTGGGGACGGAGCGCGAATGGGAATGCCGCGAGTGATGGGATGTCAGTTCTTGACTCAACTCAACTCATCTCAACTCAACTCATCTCAACTCAACTCATCTCAACTCAACTCATCTCAACTCAACTCATCTCAACTCAACTCATCTCAACTCAACTCATCTCAACTCAACTCATCTCAACTCATCTCAACTCAACTCATCTCAACTCAACTCATCTCAACTCAACTCATCTCAACTCAACTCATCTCAACTCAACTCATCTCAACTCAACTCATCTCAACTCAACTCATCTCAAACTCAAACTCATCTCAACTCAACTCATCTCAACTCAACTCATCTCAACTCAACTCATCTCAACTCAACTCATCTCAACTCAACTCATCTCAACTCAACTCATCTCAACTCAACTCATCTCAACTCAACTCATCTCAACTCAACTCATCTCAACTCAACTCATCTCAACTCAACTCATCTCAACTCAACTCATCTCAACTCAACTCATCTCAACTCAACTCATCTCAACTCAACTCATCTCAACTCAACTCATCTCAACTCAACTCATCTCAACTCAACTCATCTCAACTCAACTCATCTCAACTCAACTCATCTCAACTCAACTCATCTCAACTCAACTCATCTCAACTCAACTCATCTCAACTCAACTCATCTCAACTCAACTCATCTCAACTCAACTCATCTCAACTCAACTCATCTCAACTCAACTCACAGCTATGCACGGTAATTTATACGGTAACAAGATAACGAGATGTGCTTGATGCTGTTGAAGTGAGAAAAGTTCCTTTAATTTAAAAAAAAAACATGTCACTCGAAGGACTCCAGGTGTGCTACCGGCACAAGTCTTCTTCTCCTACTTATTCCTTGTTCACCGGTTGTAATTCCTCTGGAAAGGTCTGGGTGCTCGTTCATTTTCATTTCGGCGTTGTACCTTGTGTTTTGCGTGTATATTCGTTTTTCTGGCTTATTTGTGTGCAGCTGTTTGTTCCTTGTGGCTTGGATAGATGCACTCCGACACAGAAGAAAGCCCCTAATTAGTCGACTCCTACGACATGTTTGCTAGGGAGGCAGTGAGTCTATTCCTGGTTTTCCCCACAGTGAGACACTGCAATCTCAGCGCTGTGCAGTAATTCCGTAGCACCGGCGAGGATCCTGAAATACTTGAAAGCAGTTAAGCAGCTGGGAAAACATTCTGTGTTTTGAAAAGCTCTTGGTTGCACCATGTTTCTATTTCGACAACGTGTGCTACAAATAGGTTAGTTGATCTGTGTTAATATTTTGTTTTTAATTTTTGAATATCGGTTATCAGTTAAATGCAATTACAACTTTACATCCAAACGTCACCCATAAATAATTGCTCAATTTCGTTCCGTAATAAAATGGGGGGGGGGGGGGGGGGGGGGGGGGGGGGAAATAGCAGAAGGCATGCTACCAGGAAGGAGGGGCAGGGACCGACCAACATAAAAGGTGTCTCCATGGAAAACAGGTACATGGGGCGGAAGAGCTGGCCAGAGACGCAGTTTCTTTTAAGGAGACCGTGATGAGAGCGACGTTCTGCAAAGGACCTACTACGTAATGAATGTTGAATATGAGGGGAGAAAACTACTTGCTGCTTGTTGGGCATATTGTAGACATTCACATCATGCGTGTGATCTCATCTGATATGTGAATCTGTCACTTATCAACCTTACGACGACAACCTGTTAACTCATCACCTGCCATCCTGCGAACCCAAAAAGCCAACCTGAGGCGCATCAGTCGTCTGAAACAGAAGGCTGACACTAACATCAAGAGTAAGCACTCAACATGTGAACCAGAAAATATGTGCACACGTCAACTTGTGAACCAGAAAATGTGTTCACACGTCAACTTGTGAACCAGAAAATATGTGCACATGTCAACTTGTGAACCAGAAAATATGTGCAAATGTCAACTTATTAACCTGCGAACCTAGCAACCTACCATGATGTGCAACAGAAGTAAAAAACATCAAACTACGACAGAAATTATTTTGAAGTCAACATTATATGCAAGGGTTCAACTTGTCAACCTGACAACCTATGAATATGCCAATTTGTCAACATGTGAATCTCTTGACTCGCCAACCTAAGAACATATCCTGAGGTGCAGCAAGAGCCAGAAACTGCAAGTTGCGACCGAATTTTTTTTTCCAACTCAAAATTAAATGTAAGCGTTCAATCTGTTAACCAAACAATATGTGAACTTGTAAACCTGTCATGGGGACTTCAACTAGCGAATCTGCCTATGTGTAAACGTGTGCAACAACCCGAGTGTGTCCAGACTGAAGTCCCGTGAATTCTCGGTCACCCGCCCGTGTGCTGCCCTCTCATGTCCAGTCACTATATGCTAGGCTGATATATTGAACGCTCTACAAGAAGTAAGACGTTTGTGAGAACCAAGCGATGACTGAATCTGTAAACAAGACTGCAAGAACAGCAAGTTAAAAGTTGCGTGTCCGGACAAGATCACTATGCAGGATACCAGAGAAGAATTCTAAACACAGAACTGGTGTCGTTAGCCGCTACACACTGTGTGGGATTTACTGAGGAGGAAACCCGAGAATTCCTTGGACGGAAGGTTCAATGTGCAGTGAGGATAATTTCTGGACTAACTTTGACTAAGTCCAAGAAGAATTGACCAACAGACCACAGATGCTGCAAAGGAGGACTTATATGTAAGTAACTTGTTGACATTGTTTGTTGTCAGACTTCTCCCTGCTTTTAGAACAGTGGCTGTCAACTTGTTTCTGGTAGTGTCAACTTGACTATATAGTAATACTTCCACGCCCCCCCCCCTTTCCTTTCTAAATATTAGAGAAATAAAATATGATTTAAAAAAAAGAGGGGGGGGGGGAAGGAGGGGAACATTGATAAGCATTATAAACAAAAACTTGAAGGGAAAAAAATCAACATAAACCAAAGTGACAGATAACAAATAGAAACAATCCCCAACAACTGTTAATTAGTTGTCCAAACATCAATGTGATAGCTGACACTGTTGTGTCTTGATGTTTTCTGTCATTTTAAAACTAATATTAGACAAGTCACAAAGAAATACTGTAAAAACAATACGCACAACATGTTAGTATACTAGTTATTGGGAGCCGCTTTGGTGTAACGGCTGGACGCTTGCCTGGGGTTCTAAAGATTATGGATTCGTATTCGAACGGAGTCGGACTATTTTTCACAAATGACCTTGGCTTCCAGTCGATCCAGTCATGAGTGAGTACCAGGTACAGTCCTGGGAAGTAAAGGCGATGGGCGTTATGTTTACCGTATCACCCACATAGTGCGGATTGATCGATAAAATGTAGGTTTTACATGTACTTTCTTATCCTATGAGGGGAAATGTAACCTTCAAACTTTATACTATAGCAGGGTAGACCAGGCCCTTAACCTTGGCTGGCAGACCAGGCCCTTAGCCTTGGCTGGCAGACCAGGCCTTTAGCCTTGGCTGGCAGACCAGGCCTTTAGCCTTGGCTGGCAGACCAGGCCTTTAGCCTTGGCTGGCAGACTAGGCCTTTAGTTTAGGCTGGTAGACCAGGCCTTTAGCCTTGGCTGGCAGCTGGTCTAGGAGGGAAGCGTCGTCGCGCTGACCGATATAGCGCTGCTGTCTGATCCGGCAGCTTCTGCAACCTGCTTTGTTCCAAATGTACTGGTGTTACCTTTCCTTTGGAGTAAACAAGGCAGGCCGAGTGAGAGATCCTGAAACATGAGCAACATATGGTCTCTAGAGTACTGCCCAGGCTTTGTGTTACAGAGAGGAGGGCCTTTATCCCTGGCCTTAACTGGTCTCGGAAAACAAATCGAGAGGCAGCAGTTTCACTCACCATCGTCATGGGCCGTGAGTTCCATGCCTCCCCATAGCGCAGTATAACACTGTCGCCTGGTAAGACGGAAAGGTGCCAGTCAATCAACATGTACTTTACTGTATATATTACGTGCGGCTCCATGGCTAAGAGGTTAATGAATGCGGTTAACAATGTCATGATCTTTGAGTACCGGGCTTTGTTCCCCGCGGTGGACGGTTAAAACATAAATTGGTTTTGTGGTTTTCGGACAGTAGTACGAGAGTTGCACCGTGGAAGCGATTGAGGCCTTACTACGTAACATTACCAAAGACGACAATGGTACACTGTAGCCAACCTTAATTGCGGAGAAGGCACATTCGTGTTTAAATTAAAAAAAATTCAACAGGTTATTAAACTTACAAAGCAACTCAGTTTCAACATTACTTGACGTCTATCTAAAAACTTTCTTGCGCCCACTAGGGGGCACCCCAATACCCCCAGGTTAAATACTGTGCTAGAGGCCCTATTGTTGGGGGACTCTTCGACAGCGTGGTCCTGCCCATTCCTCCGAGTTCACCGAGGACGCTTCGTCAGGCATCATTTATTTTCAAGCATCTGACTCACTACATCTCAGAAAATCAGCTACAAGACCAAGAGGACGGCGGCGGAAGTGTGGATCGACAACATTAAAGACACTCTAAGTCTGTATGGCAATGGATCTCAAATTATTCCTCCCCACGGAGCTTGATGGTAGAAGTGATATATGATGATGACGATAATGGATTTAGATTTTGTCTCTAAACAGCTAAGTTTTTTTTTTTGGGGGGGGTGTAAAAAAAACCGCAGCTTTGCTGTAAACCACAACGTAACTAGCTAATCACCATTTAAGTTTTAACGCGAAAGAACTCGTGGCTGACCGCATAAGATGGGGGACGGAGCGTGTAATGAAATGTCCCAAGTACGGTGACGTCAGTTCTCATTTTTCAAAACGTGATAGTCCGCACACACCCTTTTTGTAATGTGGTTGCTGTCAGTCTGGGCGGCTGGCTAAGTCGTCAGTGGTATGTCAACACAGTTTGTGTGGCAATTATAATATTGAGCCGATTTTTTTCTTTCTCTCTTCTCTCTTTCTCGCTTTCTTCCCTCTCCTCTCTCTCTCTCACATGCCTTCTCTCCTCTTCGTCTTTCTTTCTCTTCCTGTTCTCTCTCTAATCTCTGGCGTACTGTCTTTGTTTTGTCTCCCCAATCACTTTCTATTTCTCTCACCTTGATACACTGTTTATCTCATTTTATGTTTCATTCGTTTCACATACTCTAACCCTCTCCCTAACCCCCCCCCCCTCTCTCTCTCTTTCTCTTCCTCTCTCTCTCTCTCTCTCTCTCTCTCTCTCTCTCTCTCTCTCTCTCTCTCTCTCTCTCTCGTCTCTCATCATTCACTAATTCTTTTCACAACACTGATAATTAGAATACCGGTATTACCACGACATAAATACACAACAGGATGATTTGTCAACAAAGACGAAACTGCCTTGAACTTTATCAAGGTTTTATGGTTTCCGATTAAACAAATAGTCCTTCGCCTTATCGCACCAATCCGTCCATTTCATAACTGTCTTGTTAGCCCCTCTCTCTCTCTCTCTCTCTCTCTCTCTCTCTCTCTCTCTCTCTCCCCTCCCCCACCCCCCCCCCACCCTTTTCCGCTATCTAGCTCTGCTATCTGTAGGATTATTATCTCAAGGATGAGCACCGTCTTCTTCTTTGTATCCACGACCATACATCTCCTTATGTAAACAGTTTCTACCTCTCTGTCATCTGACATTCTCTTAATCAGTCCCAGCCATTTCAGTCTGTTAGCTCTCATGATACCAGTGGCCAGTGGTGATTTAAACAGATTATGAATTTCATTGTTGCTTCTCGCTCCCCATTTATCGCTGTT